GTCTCAAACTGGATTATTTCTGGCAGTCTATTCAGGCCCTAACTATGCAAAAGAAGGTGTAGCATTGTCTCTTTCTGTGTGCAATTTTTCTGAGCACAGGAGCCTAATCCTGATCTGTAAAGACTGTATGAGCAGTGGTTCTCTACCTTTTGTTCTCCAAATGTTTGAGACTTCCACTGCCAGAATTCCTGACCATTAGCCATACTAGCTGGGACTTCTGGGAAATGAAGTCCAAAACATCTGGAAGACCAAATGTTGAGAATCACTGCTCTAGAGAGAGCATAAGAACTATAAAGGTAGATTGGAAAGAGAAACAGCAGAATCAGAATTCATCCATAAACTACAGTCCCTCAGCAATGGATTGTACAGGAACAATGGCTTCCTGACCCACTACATTCACTTCAAGATTATCTGACCCCATCCTCATGGGGGTGTCCTACACTCATCTATCCTCCTCACCTGCAGGTTAGTTTCCAAGGCCAAACTGGTCTTGCCACCTCATTTCCATACCCAATGGCTATGTCTTTGTCCACAAATGACCATTGTTAAAACTGGACTTGCTATTTCATTCCCATATACAAAGGATTTTGAATTTGAATAGACATGCTCACACATCAAGGACATATATATGCCTGTCCCTGGCTTCCACTCCACCAAAAGCATCTGAAGAAATATACCAAAGTCAATGAAAGCTCATGCTGCCACCTTCTTTTTTTTCAGTTCGTCTCAAAGGTGCTACAAGATCTCTCTACTGTTACAATGACTGATTTGTTAAAAAGACCACTTTTGGGTTCCTGCCATGACCCTACAATGGGAGAAGCCCCAATTGCCATAGACGCAAGGCAAGCACATGATGTAGGCACCTGAAAGGTCACATCTGCACTTACAACAATTTGCAGATCAAAAGGGCCAAGCCTAGGAGCTGCTATGCTGGACATTCACACCTAGAAGATTTATGAGTGCCAGCCAGGATGTGTCTGGCTGAAGATAAGATAACATTAACATCCCATCTCCTCTCCTTGGAAATTGTTTACTTCAAGGAGTAGTAATCAGAATCCTTTGATATACAATAGCAACTCTTCACCTCAGGCTAGTTTTAAGGGTATAAAAGATCCCCAAAATCTCAAGCGCATTGGGTCTGGTTAGATTTCATGGTGCCACTGCACCACTGTGAATTCTGACTTGAGTCCTAGCTCTTTCCGTTGTCCTTTCCTTTTTCATAATGGTTGAGTCTATCCATCTTCATTCATTGTTGGAGCAGCCTCCTTCAAGTAATTATCACCATTAGAAAGCCTTGTGTTTCCTCTTCAAGCTAACTGCTTTATTCCTGAGTTCTTGTGTGTAGAGTGTCTTTGTATGTTTGAATCCCCCAAATAAATTACAGTTCATTGGAAAGCTTTGTCTCCATCAGGCTATTCCCTAGCCACCTCTGTAAACATAGGATACAAGATCCCATTGAAGACTTGGACTTTAGTAATTCCCCAAGTTCATGTACTTCTTAGACTACATACTGCTCTAGAAAGAAGTTTTTTTTAAAAAAGAAATTGTCAATAGCTATTGAATGTTGCTTAAATTCTGAAGCAAACCTTGAGGTACTCCGGGACAAAACATCCAAGGAATTTCACAAGAACAAAAAGAGATTTAATAAGGCTGGAAAAAAATCTTGGGGGAAAGGGCAATTAAATCCTTCCCTAAGCCCATCAGAAAACATGAATGCAGTACATTTTTTTTTTAAAAAAGTATAATTATACATTTTGTCTTTTGAGACTATGGGGCATGTTTAAAGAACTCTTCAAACAGTGGATGCAATTGCTAATATCTAGAACTAAAGTTAGTGGATTTTTCATTTTTTTCCCTACAGAACAAAGCTTAATCAAAATGTGGAGGTTTCAGAAAGAAAATGCTAGGAAGGATGCAAAAGAGTTTCAGCAAGAGCAGTGCCATTTCTGGACTGCGATGTCAGCATATTCCTGATTGCGACACGTTAAAAAGAGACACTGAGGCAATGGGAAAGTGGTGTGATGAAGTTGCATGTCTGGAAACTCTGCCCTAGCACATCTGGTTGTGCTCTTGCATGGCTCCTGCCCGCTTCAGGGGGTTGGCATGGATAGGACAATTTTGTATTGGATTGGGAGCTTAGTCTTCAGGACGCTTTTGCCTGCCTCATCCTATAAACTCTGTACAGGGAATATTTACTTTACTGCCATTTAAATGCTAGAAAACTCCAAAGAGACTATTCTCTCTCTGTGTATATATATATATATAATTTGTGAGGCTAAATGTCTCACAAAAACACAATTCCCCGAATTCCATAGCATTGAGCCATGGCAGTTAAAGTGGTGTCAAACTGGATTTTTTTTTTTTGCAGTGCAGATTGGAGGTCTGTATTGAAGCTCTGTACAAGCTACCTATGGAACACTCTGCAGCATGTAAGCAAATGGTCAAGAAACTAGAGTTCATGTGCATCTTTATGGGGCCAAAATGTGGGGGTAGAGATGAGGAACAAATGGAGAAGAAATAATTTTAGATGCTTCCAGGCCCAGCTTGCTGGTTTCCTCCTCATACTCTGGGTGGCTGCTTTAGATAACAAAAGAAAACAAACCAGCTCCTTGCATCATAGATGCCTCATGAGCAGTTTCAGCCTGATATGGGCACCTATATTACCCTCAACCAAGGCTGCGTTTGCACTGCAGAAATAATGCAGTTGGACACTGCTTTAACTGCCATAGCTCAATGGTATGGAATTTGTAGTTTTGTGAGTCTTACCTGTCAAAGACCTCTGGTGCCAGAACAAATTACAAATCAAAGGATTCCCTAGCATAGAGCCATTGCTGTTAAAGTGTTGTATTTTATTGTTGTGTGCCTTCAAGCCATTTTTGACTTATGCTGACCCTCCTGCTGGGTGCTCTTGGGCAAGTCACACTCTCTCAGACCCATAAGATGGCAAGGGCAAACTCCCTCTGAAGAAACTTGCCAAGAAAACCCTGTGATATGTTTGCCTTATGGTCACTCAAAGCTGGAAAGGACTTTGAAGTCATACAACAACAACAACAACAACAACAACAACAACAACAACAACAACAGAAGCCCACCCAAGGAGGCATCTCCAAATTGTGTATTTTAAGTGATGAATTTTAAATGAGGATTGTTTTAATATGTGCATATCCTATTTGTCCTTTTATATTGATGCATTTTTTCACTTATGTGTTTTTAATTGAAGGTGTGTGTTGGTTAATTGTTGTTGTTCCCTGCCTGGATCCATGGGGTGAGGCAGATAAGAAAATCATCATCAGCATCCCCCAATTCCCTTCCCTGCCCAAACAGTGTCCCAATGTCATGACCACATAGGAGGACAGGGCACTGCAAAATGTAGGACATTCAAATTCAAATCCATAAATTGTGAATTTGAAATTATGAATTTGAAATGAGGATTGTTTTAATATGTGTCTGTCTTATTTGTCCTTTTAAACTGATTTGTATTTTCACTGATATTTGTCTGTTAATTGTTGTTGTTCCCTGCCTTGATCAATGGGGAGAGGCTGGTAAGAAATTAGTAATAATATTAATAATAATAATAATAATAATAATAATAATAATAATAATAATAATAATAATAATAATAGTAATAATAATGATGCCCCCCTTCTCTTCCCAGACAGAGTGACCAGATGTCATAACTGTTGGGGATTCAAGTTTCCTAAGACTTCAGCCTTAGTTAAGGAGACAAAAATATTAAAATATCAAAAATATCAAAGACAACCTGTTAGGGTCTAGCTTTTAAATCAGCAGAGTAGCAAAAACACTGCTCCTCTAGTAACTGAGGCTGACTCAAAGACAACACAAATAGCTTGTAGTTTAAAAAACCAAACTTTACTAATGGCTTGAATCTACATATGCATAGAGGCTACATCCTAACTAGCTAATGAATAGAAATCTCTTATCTCATCATCTTTCCAAAGAAAGTTAAGAGAGTAGGGAGATGGGAGACCCAGAGAGAAGCAGGAGAATGCCTTTTTGTGTGTGAGAAAACTTCCTAAAGGAAGTAAGCTGAATCACATGATTTGTTTTACCAATTTACAAAGGTATTTATTGCCCCTGTGATTCAGCAAGAACCAAATGGTATGTTCAAAAGAAGGGACAGAGCAGAGTTTGCATGCATGGAAGTTCCTATCTCTCTTAGGAGAGAGAGTGCAAAGATTTTCCAGCAATAACCCCAGTGGAGGACAAGGCACCATAAAATGTAGGACATTCAAGAAAAATTAAGGACATTACAAACTAAAAACTAAAAACACTGATATAAATATAAATTCATGCTTCTTGTTCTTTGTTGTTAGCTGCCCACAAGTTGATCCTGACTCATGGTGACCCTGTGGATGAGACATCTCTAAGACCCCTACCTTCTACTGTCCTGCTCAGGTCCTACAAATGCATGCCCATGACCTCCCTGATTGAGTCCAACCATCTGGCATGCAGTTTTCCTCTCCTTCTACTCTCTACCTTTCCTAGCATTAAAATCTTTTCTCGAGATCCATGCCTTCTCATGATGTGGCCAAAGTATGACAGCCTCAGTTCCATCGTCTTGGCTTCCAAGGAGATTTCTGGCTTGATTTGTTCCGAGACTCATTAGAATCTCTTTCTGGCTGTCCATGGTATCCTCAGCACTCTTCTCCAGGTCCACATCACTAAGGGCCTTTACAGACTGCCAGAAATAATCCAGCTTGAGGCCACTTTAACTGTTCTGGCTCAGTGCTAGGGAATCATGGGAATTGTATTTTTTTCTGGGACATTGAGCCTTCTCTGTCAGAGAGTTCTGGTGCCACAATAAACTACATGATTCCTTAGCACTGAGCCAGGAGACTTAAAGTGGCCTCAAGCTGCATTATTTCTGGCAGTCTGTAAAGGCCCATTGGCATACTTTTTAGTCCTGCTTAAAATGGAAGACCTTTTGGAATTCCTCCTGGACAGAAGGCTGAAATGTAAGACATGCCCTGGAAAAGGAGGTCAGTATGGCCGTAGTGGTTTGAGTGATGGACTAGGACTCTGGAGACCAGGGTTCAAGTCCCAGCTGGGACATAGAAACCCCTTGGATGACTTTGAGCAAGTCACACTCTTTCAGCCTCAGAGGAAGGTATGGGCAACCCCCCTTTAACCAAATCTTGCTAAGAAAATCCCATAATAGGGTCACTATAAGTTGGAAACAACTTGAAGGCAACAAAATAATGAAGGCAATACAAAACTCTAATTTCCAATTTGTAAGCCACTCTGAAAGCATTTCTGAAGAGTGAGGTATAAATACAATAAATAAATAAATAAACAAAAATACTATTAACATTTAACAGAACTAGTGCAGATAGAGAGGAATCAATCCACAGGGTGAATGGTTATAGCACACACTCAGGTCAAGAACAAAGCCTGGGAAAGTTACTTTTTTGAAATGCAGCTACCAGAATGCCCTGACCAGGATGGACCCAGCTATATGACTGCAGAAATAATCCAGTTTGACACCACTTTCATACTAGCGCTTTGTGCTGGGTAGCTTTGGGGAGATTCGATACTGCATTCGTTCATGCAATACCGAATCTGACCTGATGTGAAGTTCACACTATGTTTACCATGATGAAATTATCTGGTGCAATATAACCCTCTGAAAGTTCACACTAACGAAGATACCGATTCAAAATGGATTCTCCCTATCGACCGCATGTGATCATTTTTGGGTACTTTTTTTTGTTCTGTCAACCAATTGATGTGCATCTACATCATTTCACTTCCGTTGTCATTGTTAGTGACGTTGCTTTGTATCTG